AGAGAGAAACAGAAAGAAAGAGATAAGTGTTTTAAAGGAAAGTTCAGGGAGAGAGAGAGAGAGTGAGAGAGAGTGAGAGAGTAAGAGAAAGAGATAAGTGTTTTAAAGGAAAGTTCAGAGAGAGAGAGAGAAACAGAAAGAAAGAGATAAGTGTTTTAAAGGAAAGTTGAGAGAGAGAGAGAGAGTGCGAGAGAAACAGAAAGAAAGAGATAAGTGTTTTAAAGGAAAGTTCAGGGAGAGAGAGAGAGTGAGAGAGAGAGAAACAGAAAAAAAGAGATAAGTGTTTTAAAGGAAAGTTGAGAGAGAGAGAGAGAGAGAGTGCGAGAGAAACAGAAAGAAAGAGATAAGTGTTTTAAAGGAAAGTTCAGAGAGAGAGAGAGAGAGAGAGAGAGAAACAGAAAGAAAGAGATAAGTGTTTTAAAGGAAAGTTCAGGGAGAGAGAGAGAGTGAGAGAGAGAGAAACAGAAAGAGATAAGTGTTTTAAAGGAAAGTTGAGAGAGAGAGAGAGTGCGAGAGAAACAGAAAGGAAGAGATAAGTGTTTTAAAGGAAAGTTCAGAGAGAGAGAGTGAGAGAGAGAGAAACAGAAAGAAAGAGATAAGTGTTTTAAAGGAAAGTTCAGAGAGAGAGAGAGAGAGAGAAACAGAAAGAAAGAGATGAGTGTTTTAAAGGAAAGTTCAGGGAGAGAGAGAGAGAGAGAGAGAGAGAGAAATAAGTGTTTTAAAGGAAAGCGCAAATGCCTTATTTTAATTTGAATTCTTTTTATTTTTGCTTATATATTTTATTTTTATTGGGACTCACTACAGTCTCCTTTATAAAACAACTGAATGAAAACTAAAAAAAGTTAATAAACCAAAAAGTTGTTCAGCTTTCAAACCTCTTGTTTTTTAGGGCACTTAGTATATCTATAAATTATATATAATTAATTACTTATTTTTAACCTAAATTGGAATTTAACTCTTGGGATTTTACATTAGGCACTTGTTAGGATCTGTCTACCCAGATTTTTGTTGCTATATGAGTTTTGGAATTCTGAACATATGACAAAAACAAGACATCTTTTAAATGAAACATAAAAATGTTTATTTTCTGAAGGAAAAGTAGGAGCATAACATTGTTGAAATAACATTTATATATTCTTTTCAGAAATATACAATAATAGCAAAATGCTCAATTTTCCTTGCAGTGAAGTTTGTTTTATCAAGTAATTGAGTGTTCTTAGGGCAGTGTGAGATGTGTTAACAGACTTACTTTATAATGGTCAGCCAAATGTATCTGTGAGTTCATAGACAACGCCTTAGTTGGCAGCTGCTGGCTGTCATCTTCTATTGTGTGTACACACGTGTGTGTGTGTGTGTGTCTGTGCATATGTGTGTGTGTGTGTGTGTATATGCATGTGTAGATCAAACTGTTTTGAACAGTTGGAAACAGCACGCTTCTATTTTTTCATCTATAAAAGGGATCCAAAATCTAATTTCACCTATATGTGCAAATTTTTTGAATACAAGGTTTTCATTAGTTAGAAAATAATTGCACACAGGCTTGCAAAAATTTTTCTTGAATTTGCAGGAGTGGTGAAAGAAGTTATTATTGTTATTTTCTAAATGGTCCAAAAAAAAACATGATGTAGTTTGACAACTATGTCTGCCAGGTATTTATGTGGTATTTGCCCTTGTAATTATTATCAAACTTTCTGATGGAATTCTATTAGTTGAAAAAAATATATAGGATTTAATTCTTATGCACAGTTTAATTACCACTAACACTCACTCTGCACTATTATACCAGCTGTAACAGCAAAATTGTCCCTTTGTTAAATTAAGCTTTGAACCGTTGTATCTTAGAAATGATTAAAGATATCTTACTGGAATTCTCTGAAGTTTTTATAACACTATTATACTCTACTTTGAACAATAAGAATGTATTTAGCTCTAAGTTGATATGATGATTTCTTTTGCTGTTGTGACCTCCTGATTCAGTTTTCCTCTCTGCTTTTCCCTTTTTTATAAGAACATAATTTAATAAGAATGTATAATTATTCTCCAAGCTTAACAGAAGAAATGTGATGAAATCGATCATAAATGAAGATGGCATGTTTATCATATATTAAACATAGCTAAGGATCTGAAGCTCATGAAAGATTGAAATAAAGATCAAATATATATATATTATTCCAGGATAATTTTCCAATTTATTCAAGGTGATCTTTGCCACCTCTAACCTTTTTAACTTTCTGTCCTGGTGTAAAAAGGTGCCTCAAAGGTTTCACATATGACTTCATTTTCATGTCTTTTCACTACTCTTTGGACTGTCATAGCTGAAACTCCTCTTTCACATGCTAAATGTCTTATGGATTGAGTTGGATTTTTTCTAATTAACCTCTTTAGCTCTAAGTTGAAATGATGATCCCGCTTCTTGTTGTGACCTCCTGATCCAGTTTTCCTCTATAGTGTTCCCTCCTTTTTTAAACTTATTCACCATTCTCTTGATGGTTCTTGAGTGGACTTTGAAGATGGAAGCTAGAGTATGAATGTTGGTACCCTCTCTAACCTTCTAACTTTCTGTCTTGTAGCAACAGGTTGCTTCACTGGTTTCACGTACAATTTCATTCTCAAGCCTTTTTCAATGCTCATTGGATTGTCATAGTTGAAACTCCTCTTTTATGTGCCAAACATTATATGGATTGTGTTGGATCCTTTCTAATCGATCCCTTTAGCTCTATGTTGAAATGATGATCCGTCTTGAATAGACCTTGAAGATCGAAACCAGAGTATGAAACCAGGCCCGAATTATTTTTTCTTCTCACCATTGCTGATTTGGAAAGACAATGGGGCTGACATAAAACGATTTTAAACTATTTTCTTTCTAACTAAATAATTCAAAGGTTTTTTCAGTGATTCTTACAACAAATGGTGTCAAGCTGGCTAAACGTCTTATCTGAAAACCTGGAAAAAAGAAACTCAATTAGGTTAGTGGTTTTTTAGATATTAAAAATTTTGTGGGATGGACAATTATGGTGTTACATGATTTGGACAATTTTGCTGTTACATCCAGTATGTGTGTGTGTGTGTGTGCTTGTGTATGTATGTATATCTGTGTATGTAGCCAAGTGTGTGTAGGATATATAATAGTATCTAAAACAAAAGTAGTGATGATGAGTCAGAGTAAAAAAGCTTATAAACAATGCATTTTGCAGTTGTCTGCTGGTCTCAGCTTCTTTAGGTTAGAATGAAAAACAAAATGTTGTGTTGATGTTACACATTGTTATTTACCACACAGTCACCAGAATTAAGCAATGTTAGGTCTGGTCACTACCTAGATGAGTAACCACTTGGGAATACCAGGGACTGTAAGCTTGGATGTGTGGGTGGTGTAATGCATAATGGCTCAGAATTGTTAATTTGAGAGCCAAGTTCCATTCCTGTTGGGTTCATTATATTTACTTATGTGCAAATACTCTTGGGAAAGTTATGAATCAACCTCTTCTTCCCCCAGCTATGGGTTAATTAGTAATACTTGTATCACTAAACCATTATTAAATCCACCCCTCCAATTCTTACAATCCAAATATATTTTCTGGCTTTAAATAACCTGAATGATAAGCCATAAAAAAAAGAATCAATCAAACATTGTTATTGCACATTGCTGACACATATGTTAGGATCCATCTACCTAAGTTTTTGTTGCTATCTGAATGTCGGCATTCCAAACATTTAACAACCACAACACATCTTTAAAATGAAACATAAAAAAGGTTATTCGCCAAAGGATGAGTAGAAGCAGAACGTCAGTTGAAATAACATTTATAGATTCTTTTCAGAAATATACAATAACAATAAAATGTTCAATTTTCCTTGCAGTGAAGTTTGTTTTATAAAGTATTTAAGTGTACAGGCTTACTTTATCACAGTCAACCTAATGTGTTTGTGAGTTTGTAGACAAAGAATTAATATGCAGTTGCTGTTTAATCCCCTTTACAGAGTGCATGGACAAGGTCTTAGTAACTGCTGGCTTTCTCTCTTCCATTATGTGCATGTGTTTGGGTGTGTGTACACACATATAGATTAAACTGGCCTCCAAAATAGGTGTGAGCCTTGAGAAGAAGTATGCTTCTGATTTTATACCTGTAAGGGGATTCAAAATCTAATTTCACATAGCAGTGTGAACTATTTGAATACAAAGTTTTCATTAGTTAGAAAATAATTTCACACTGGCTCACAAAAATCTTTTTCTTGAATTTGCAGGCATGTTGAAGGGAGTTATTATTGTTATTTTCTAAATGGTTAAAAAAAATAACACTTGGTAAGTCTACACCTATGTCTGCAAGTATTTTGGCCTTGTAATGATTGTTTATCAAATAAACCTTCCGATGGGATTTTATTGGTTGAAAAATATATATAGAATTTTATTCCTATACATATCTTACTTCATTCTGCTGCTTTGGAATTAGCTTTCAAAAAAGGAAAAAATAAGGACACTACTAAAAACAATGTGTGGCTTGAAATGAATTTAATTTTTTTTGCCACTCACACATCCTGATGATGACACATATGAGTTGAAACCTAGGATGTCATGCATTGGGTTTTCAATATTCATTTCTTATATATATCCTATTGTAGTTTGACACAGAAGATGTTAGAGTTTGTTTAATTTCTAATCATAGTTGCTTTGGGCATGGGAAGTGAAACTAACAAAAATCATGAGTTTTAGAATTAGATTCAGGACATTTTTTCAGGAAAAGTAAAAAGACTAAGTTATCTTTTAAAAACTAAAGATTTTTAAAATACCTGAATAGGTAGTCAGCATCCTTTATGAAAAAAAATGTTACTCATCCAGCATTTCAATTAGTAAACCCTCCTATACATTCTCAGTCAATCTTCAAAATAATATTTTTCAAGATTTATTGATTATTAAATCTTCTCAGTACTCAAATGAAATAGGAACTCTAGAAATTTATTATAATATTATCCATTTTGTAGCCTAGAACCCCAAAAATAGGTTAATGTATTTAAAACTGTCAGGAACGTTTTTCCTCATGACCTGGCCTTTTATTTAAAGGGTGTTTGCTTTCGTTATACACCGATTCATATTTGGGAACGAGTCTGCTGCGTGAGTGATTGTGCTTTATAATCTTTGTCGTCTTCTAAAACTATTTTCCGGAATAAGTAGTCTTTTTTTCTGTATTACAGGCGAATATTAATAGAGGTAAATTGTTTTGATCGCTAATACTCAGAAACACACAAGGGTATTAAAAAAGGAGGAATAAAAGAAAGGTATGTATTTTTTTATCTTTTAATACTTTTATGACCCTAAAAGGAGAGATTAAAAGAAAAGTTATTGAATCAAAATCAAAAAGATGGAGATCATTCCCACCGCCTTTTTTTTCTAACTTGAATTCCCTAGAAATATTTTTGTTTTATAATCGAAAATCAAAATTTTAAGTGAAAATAAGGCTGCAAGGAAGAAAAAAAAAAAAAAGTACACTTTCATATGAATTAAAAAAAAAAAAAAAAAAAATAACCGTGTCTCCCAAGTATTGGATATAATTTATATAATGATTTTTTTTGTTAATATTTAAAATAAGATTTATTTATACATGTTCAATACATAATCTAGTCAAAAAGAATGCTTCAAGTTTTAGTAATTTTTAGACAATTGCTTTTTCTTAAAAAATATAACTACAGCCAAAAAAAAAAAAAAAAAAAAATCCTGTTCAAAATTTCTTAGATATTTTTAAACAGTGAAGAAAACAAAAGCTTCTTTTTTTATTTAACTTAAACCTAATTCTAAAAAAGTAAAATGCAACTTAAAATATCTTTGGACTTTTTAAAACTGTCTTTGTTTTTTTGTAGTTTTAAAATAAAAAAAAAAATAAAATAAAATAATGGCAGCCTTCTAGTAGTTGACTTCTTTTTGAAAAGAAAGGAAACTGTGAATAAACATAATTGCCTATGTCTTGAAAAGACATGGCACGGAGAACAAAAAAAAAAAAAAAAAAATCACCTTTTCACCAATATTTTACTTTAAAATTAAACACAATTTAGCGGAAATCCTTTTTTATTAAAGAAAGAAATGATGCGTGTGTGCGCTAAACAAAACCACGTTGTCATTTTCTATTCGGTTTAAGAAGAGAAAATTGTTTTTGACTTTGGTGATATATTAAGTTTTGCAATAAGCCATTTGATTAAAACTCAGATTTTTATTTTATGTACAGATTTTAAGTTTCAGATTAAGATGTGTGCTAAGAATATGAGGCTATGAAAAAGAAAAAATATCCCTTTTTTTTTCTTTTTTTTAAACGAAAAGATTGTTTTTAGCTTTTTTTTCACATATGTCACATTTCTAAGATTAAAAAAAAAATAGACATAAATGCTTAAAGTTTTAATTGTTCATTTAATCTTGTTGGGAGATTTCTAAAAAAAAAAAAAAAAAAAAATTAATCACTTATCTTTATTCGGCAACGTTTGAATTAGTTTGTAAATCGAATACATTTTAAGAAAAAAAAAGAGTGTACTCTGAGCCTCTCAGCTGATTCTGACGTTTTAAATTTTGAAAAAACGAAAAGTCTGTTTCATAAAGACTTTTTTTTTTAAATGATAATTTTTTTTTTTTTTTTTTAAAGTTTAACGGCAAAGCTGGCAGAATCAAGTTGGTTTTGAAACCATTTTTAAAGCGATTCTGCACGTGCAAGTATCGGCAAATAAATTTGACTGGAACTTGTAAGAAAATGAAATCAATGACTCAGACAAGCAAAACCCACGCTTTCGAAAATGGTCTGATCCTTTGCTTTTATCATGTTCTCAATAGGTTTAGGTTAGAAAGAGATTGCCCCAACCTAACCGAAATATGAAATTCATTATTTTACCTAGAAAATGATTGCATTATTTTATTGGGTGCGTAAATGAATTAAAAAGACTTTATTGAGAAATTATTATTATTTTTTTTTTTTGTTTTAACTACAAATTGCAAATTTGTCTTCAGCTTCTTGTCTCCCAACGCCGACTTCTTCAACTTTATGCTATCTATATAGAAATCGATTGTCTTCTTATTTTATTGGCCCAAATTCATTCCTCGCAGCATTTCGCATTTCTCTTACCGTGCACCATTTCAACATTTATTTTTAAAATTTATTTTTGATATATTGGATAATTACAAAAGTTTAATTTTTATCCATTTTTTTTTTTTTTTTTTTTTTTTTAAATTTTCTATTCGGGCACTGACTAGATTGCAATGATAATGTAGCGTAGCAGCTATCGGCACGTAATGCGGAATCGGCGAGGCAATTTCAAATTCCGGTCGAGTCTGCTGTGTTGACTTTCGTGTCTCGGGAAAGGCATGAACCTATTTTTCTCCTTGCCCCCCCACTCCCAAATATGGCTCAATTAACAGAATAGACGAGGAGAAAGGCTACACTATGAATTCGCAAATCCACTATCTTTTTCAAGAAGCCATGGGATTTTTCACAGAACAAAAAATCATCTGTGGAGAGCTATGATCGTTCTTCAATTATGTGGCACTTAAAAAAAGGTGTACATTGGTACAATAAGGTTCTATCTCTTAGATAAATTTTGTCAAGTGACCAAAACGATATTATAATATTTAATAAACTCCTTTAAGATGTCATAAATAATAAAATATCAAAGTTTAGTTTATTAAAATATTTCAGTAATTTAAATTATTTCTTATATATTTATTTTAAATACAATATAATCTGGTTACTTGAACTTTGTAAGCAAGGCAAGTTGTAACGGAGCAGTATTGAAAATAAGATCTAGACAAGATATCTATGTAACTACATACAGGCAGTGGAACAATAACAATCTACCCCTGTATTGAATAGAAGGTTCAGTTTGGAATTCCCTGTAGGTTATCTGGATTGACATACACCTGATGAAGGCCGGAAAACACAAATAGCTGAAATTTTGTGATAACAACTAAGATGAGGAGAATAGTATGCATGTAAATATTATATAGCCATAATTGTGTCGAAGAACTCTTTATTAAAGCAAAAATACAATGAATAAAATATTTCCGAAACATTGAGTATAACTGTTATACCATAATACCTATTCTATTGTAATAGACTCTCCCACAGATAAGTAGTAGTAGCAGTGGCCAGTGGGACTCAGTGGTGTTGAGTGAGTCAGTCGATGTTGGACATTGAAGTATCAACCATCACAACTAGATTGCTGCGTCATTAGCTCTTACTTCAAGTTCCTAACGTTTTGTACATCGAACCTAATTTAGGATGACTTATTGAAATACAAGCCTCCACTGTGAAAACTACTCTACAACAATAACAATATATAACTACCCATGTATATTTTTGTGTTCATAAAAAATATTTTGTTTTATCCACTAACTCTATCACAACTACAATTGAAAAGAATCTATCTAAACTCAACATAAAAATTTGTCATGATTACATCTAAAACAATAAAAGACTTAATCAATATGAAACGAAACTTGTCTTTTTATTCCTCATATTTCATTTACCAGCATATTGAAAATATATATATATATATATATATATATATATATATATATATATATTTTCCAAGTTTTGAATAAGCAGCTCTAAATTGTCTGCCTTCTGGCATAAAAGTGTTCTATGCCATAAAAATGACATAGCATTTGGTTATTAATTCAATAGCCAGGTAGGCAATGACTGGCCACTATTTTAAGTTTCATGTGCTTGCAAACAATCTTCAGGTAGCCACCAGATGAGTACAATTTGACAAGCAAACCAAGCTCGCACAGTGGGAAGGGTAAATCTGGTTTCTCTTGTTATTGAGCATTTTTTGTAATCCTGGCAAGCCTTTTTTGATCTACTTTCCTTACTGTACAAGTTTGCTTTGCTTGTCAAATTGTACTCGTCCGGTGGCTACCTGAAGATTGTGTGCAAGCACATGAAACTTAAAGTAGTGGCCAGTCATTGCCTACCTGGTTATTGAATATGTATGTAATCTCATGCACACATGTGAATTATTTGGGTGAAGTTGACCGGACTATTGATAAATTGCTTTCCCTCTTGTTTATTGACTGACAGTAGAGCCAGTAATTGCAAAGAAATTGTACACTCTCTTTTGCCCCAGTTGCTCACAAGACAAGGAGATCAATGATAATTCTTTTTACTTCTGTCATCCTCTTCACTTCATTTTAGTGTATGTATATTACTGTTAGATATAGTGACTTTCCTAAAGTACATTGACACTTAATGGCCATTCCTGGACTTTTTTTTTTTTATCTTAATCATTGTAATCACCTTTCAGCTCTTGTACCCTCGGCATATATCATTCCGAGTAACCTACAGGGAATTCCGAACTGATCCCTTCATTTAAGCTATGCGGATACTGTTTTCATTCCACTGCCCATATCTAGGGATATCTTGTCTAGTTCTTTGTTGGCACTGCTCAATTATTATTCACCCTGTTTCCACTGTGTCCAATTAGACACTGCCTAGCCCAGGGATTGAACTCGCAATTATTATGTCACCAAATTCATGAACCAACACTTTCATCTATGAGGTTATTGTCCTGTAGGACAATTCTCTGTGGAAAACTTGGAGCCTTAAACCTAACCTTTCTGCTGATGAGTGCTGTTGCTTGTAATACTTGGCTGCACTCACCAATGCTTTTTGCTTTTGTTACAGCTGCTGTTGAAAACTTTCTATCATTTGTCTTTCTTAGCAGCTCCTGTATTGTATTTGTTTCTATGCTAGGCCTACTAAGGAGATCTTTGTATCCTTGCATATGCGTTAATTCTTTCAGATGTCTAACTGCCCAGTATTCTTCCTTGTCTAGTATTTTCACTTCTTTCCAAAGTGGCTGATGACTACCATTTTTCCTTTATACATGATCAGCCATGTCTGATTTAATTGTCTCACCTTTCACTGGTTTTAGAGCGTTCCTCCAGCTTTATTTTTAGGAGGTGGCTTGTTTCACATTTATATTCTTTGCCACAACTGCAAGGAATGGAGTACACACATTAAATAAAGGATTCAGTTAGGCTACCCAGATCGATAGACACCTGCTGGAGGGTTGAAATGTGATAACAACAAAGATGGGGACAATAGTTTGTGTGTGTGTATGAACAATATACCAAAATCTTAAGGTAAATTTGTGACTTGCACAAGTCAAATGACTGGCCTTTAAAATATTGTTTAGCAACACAAATTTCCTGTTACACTAAAATATAATGAAATTCAAAAAAAAATCTTTTTATTAGTTTCAGAAATGTATGGATACAAATAATGTAAATAGAAAGAAAAAAT